TTGTCGAGCTGCGACAGTCATTCATCATTCATCAGCACTCATCCTGTGCACTTTCTTTTCGTGCGTCCTTGAGCAGCGCCTTGCTTGTATGGGGTTGCTTGCCCTTCTTCAAGTGACATTCTAATTTCTTGCTATCACATTCACTGTTTCACCCTCGCCACAAACTAAATTTTTCACGTGCACTTTTGTAAAATGGGATCATGTGTACCCACGTCACATTACTGCTTTAGAAATTGGGAGTTTGACAGGTTGACACACCGATGTACCACATTTAAGAGGTCATGATGCTGGTATGAGAGTGCACTGATCAGAAAATTCAGGATTTTCAAGGATGGTGAAAAATTCCAGGACTTTCGAGGGCCTTGAAAATGCATTTTTCAAATTCAAGGGTTTTCAAGGAATTCAAGGACCTATACGAACCCTGATAAGGCTCCATAAGACTTGATCGGGGTTCAACACAAATGCGTTTCAAACGTTAATATCTAACTCTTTCATTACCATGCCCATTCAAATCGATCACCAGTGATTGACTCTTTGAATCGTCGATTTTGGCATGGTGAACTTGTTTCTCATGCACCCAGCACCTTCTAGTAGTTAGTCCAGCCACTCAACTTTGAGAATCATTTTAAATTTGCTTAGTTTGGCAACATGGTGATTTTTGACAGACCTTTGCGCAAACTAATGTGCTTGTGTCGGGAAAATGCACTTGGCACAATCTCATGGCTACTCTGGTTACATGCGAGGTTCACACAAGGCTGGGGCGCGTTGCGCTCATGCTGGCTGCAGAGCTTCTCGTCACAACAAGAAGGCCACCGGAGCACATCTTGGCCCTGACTATGAAGCAGCACAAAATGTATTAAAACTGCACACGATATTTGCCTTTTTTCTTAAATACGATATGCAAGAATGCAAAAAGATATGCTTGGATGCATATATTAGAATGCCAGCGCCAACCTACGCGGAGTGAAGTGGCTCATGAAAAAAGGTGATGCTAGACGAAACAGTGAAGTTCATTGGACATCTGATTGATAGAGGGATTATCCACATTAAGGGCATCCACCTATATTAGAACCCCTGCAGTCTGTTATCACAAACAAACAAAAATTTACTGAGAAAAGTGTACGAATTCATTTGTGTCTCACGAACAAGCAAGGCTTCACAGCATGGCACGAGCAAAGAAGCAGCACCTCGGTTTCAATTGTCCTTGTCTATTTGAATAGAAAAATTTTCTACAACATTCATTATTTCTTAAACTGTTTCTTGGTCATTTATCTTCAAACTATAGTTTGAAATTTCTTTCTTCTGAATATTTTTGCATATATAGTGTTTTTTATAGCACTGTTTACCAGCTGGCAACATAAAAATTATACACCTTTCAAATTATTATTCATTACAAATTATTTTGTAGCTTTACAGCATATATTTTTTTTTTTAAAAGAGCATTTCATTGTGTAAAAATTTGGTATGCTGCAATGCGTGCTCGAGCACTTTTCAAACTGGCAAGAACTATCTTCCCAAGACATATGAAAAATAACTTTTTTTGCATGATAACGAAAGAGCTAGCCCTTTCAGCGTCAACAACGTACATGTACGTCCTTTCTAAACAGCTTTTAAGTAGTCAATGATATACGTGTTCATCATGTGTCCATCATGTGTCCATCATGTGTGTAATTTAATACAGAAAAGTGCACTTTGTTGGATCATTTTTTACTTGGCACGTGCTGCCACTTTGCAAAAATACACTTCTTGCACTGACGTGTCTTAGCTTTTTTTTACAAAATGCTGTACCACAGTGGTGCACGCTTGTGGCAGCTAGCCTTGGTTTCTTCCTTCAGCCGGTTTCTGCTTGTGGTGCTCGCAGCAAGCAGAACTGATGGCTGTGTAGTTCAGATTGTTCTTGTATTGCTGTGCACTTGTTTCCGTGCAGGCGCTGATAGACACAGACAATGGCGTTGTGGTTGCATATCTTGTTTTGGCGACTTGCTCGAAGCGCTTTCGTCTTATTGACGATAACATGAGAAATTATCATAGGATTTTTACTCGTTCTTGCTTTCTCAACTCCGACAACTTTTTTTTGTTAAATATTAGCCTACAGGATTTAAATCAGTAATAAAAACAAGCCGACACTAATTAGTCACATTTGGCAAAAAAAAAAAATGATCCTCGAAGGGTCCAAGAAGATACCTATTATTGAAGTTTAGCTGCACTGTACCACACTATGCTCTCACCTCCTTTATCGACACTATTTCCTACTGTAAGCTTTGCATGTCATGCACGATTACAAACTCACGTTCTAATATTATCATCACATGTGATTTCAATTTACCTGGAGTTAACTGAACTAACCAACCATTCACACGAGAAAACCGATACGAGAAGTGCTGAATCCTTGTTGTATATGTCATTTACTTTCTCTCAAGATCATCTAGTTTCTGAGCCGACCAGAATAGTTGGTCCCACACGTTCTGTTCCCGATCTGACATTTGTTAGCAGTCTCTTTCATGATAATACTGTGAATATTGAAAGTGGTATCTCAGACCACAAAATGATTGTATTCTCCTGCCCTATTTCAGGCAATAGTGAGTGCGTAAAGCCATCAATAACTATAATCAAAGATTACTCTCTATCAAATGAAAATGACATCTCGCAATAGTTAGGCACCTGTTTTCCACAGTTTTCGTTGATACAAGATGTCAATGCATTGTGGTTACGTTTTAATCAAACTGTATCTTTTTGTGAAGAACACTACACTCCCTCCCAGAAACAAGTTATTAGAGAAAACCCTTGGTTTTGTGCGAAATCATTCATCTAAAAAGGCAAATTAAGAACAAATACAAGAATGAAAACACATGTGGTCTACAAGAACTTGCGTGCACACTACAAGATAAGATTCAAGCAGCCAAGGAACGTTTTTTTATGGTCACTCTGCGTTTTTACATGATCGAAACACCACAAAGATTTTGGCGCTATCTCTCGAAGGAGCGACATACTGTATCGCAGATTACTGCTGCAAACTAAGCTATTGTACAGCCTGACATCATAGCAAATAATTTTAATGCATTTTTTTTTCAATCAGTATTTACCAGAAATGCCTTTAACAGCCCCCTGCCCCATCATCAATAGGACAACCCAATGCCAGAAATAGACATCACTCAAAAAGGAATTCATCACCTCCTATAAAAACTGGATGTAAGAAAACCTTGTGGTCCTTACCATATAACGAATGCCTTTTTGCAGAAAAATACAGCGTTGGTGTCAAACTATTTGTATGTAATTTAGAAGCAATCATTGGAAACTTCGGTAATACCATACGACTGGCGACTTGCGAAAGTAGTAATTGTGCTTAAATCTGGCTTTGAACACAAAGTTAATAATTACAGACCAGTTTCATTAACATGTGCATGCTGTAAATTGTTTAAACATATTATTTATAAGGCCATCATACTACATTTAGAGCATACTACCTTACTATACAACCGGCAACATGGTTTCCGTTCAGGACTGTCAACTATCACCCAACTATCTGAAATAAGCCATGATGTAGCTGAAGCAATAAATAATAAAAGCCAAATTGATGCAATTTTCTTAGATATTTCAAAAGCATTGGATGCAGTCCCCCATCAAGACCTAGTTACAAAATTAAATGTCACTGGTATACACGAAAAAGCAGTGAATAATTGTGTGTCTGATTTGCTTGACGTTTATTCTGGTGTGCCGCAGGGTTCAGTGCTTGCGCCACTACTATTTCTAATATATATCAATGATATTCAATCATGCATTTATCCACCTATTCATATGTGATTGTTTGCTGATGATTGAGTAGTCTACAGAACAATAATAGCAGGGATGGCCAAATAGAATTAACCAATTCCTTAGCTTCTATACAAAAATGGTGCAACAAATGGGGAATGAAACTAAATGCAACTAAAACAGCTAGTATTTCCTTTACGCATAAAAGAAAACCTCTCCAGTATCAGTACACCATCAATAACGTTCCGCTGAAGAAGTGAGACAAAGTAAAAATCTCAGCATAACTTTTAGACGAAATTGAACTGGGAATGTCATATAAATAACATATATCAAAATGCTCTACCAAGCTGCATTTTTTTTAGAAGAAAACTAAAAAAGACACCTCTCAGCATTAAACTAAATGCATATAAAACACTAATTAGGCCAGCTTTACAGTATGCGGACATAGTATGGGCTACACGCCAAAAATATTTAACTAATAAATTAAAACCTAGCATTGTGGTTTAAATATTCTAAGTATTCATGACAAACATCTATAATGAACTTGAGGGTCAGGGCTGAAATCCAACTCCTTGTACAATGCAGAATGGTTTCTAGACTAAAATTTCCATACCTCCTTCATCCGGGATCTTATTAAATACCCCAAACGACATACATTCGTACACCATTCAGGCATTCAACTCAGACGAATCATAATAAATCAATACCCCAACAACCCTGTCATAATAACACTTCTAAATATTCTTTATTTCCACACACCATCTCTTTCTTAATGGAATGCACTGCCTGCTGATGTTGTAAACTGCTCAACTGTCGATGAATTCATTAGCAGCGTTCAGAATTTAGAATTAAGATAGTAAAATAATTGGTATCATTAATATTTCATAAGCTACCCTCTCAACATGCACAGTTACTATAATACTGTTTGCTGTTTATATGTACTTTGTTTACTGCATAACGTTCATATTCTTTGTGATTTGTATGTGCTCATACTTACTGCTCTGTATAGATGGTATTGCTCTGTATAGATGTTTTTTTTAACCCAATCCTGCATGGGCCCAGGAAAGGGCTGCAGTATTGTGAAATAAAACAAATAAAAGCTCCACTATAAAATTTGTATGGCATCGAAATCAGTACAAGCCGTAAGTCTACTTTAAGTCTCTATTGACCAGCTGAGCAAAAAAGCTTGATTTCACCAGCTCTTGCTTTTTATATAAGCATCCCAAACTATTGACTAACATACCAATTACCTGGGCTGGGTGACAAAGTGCCACTTTTTGTCCGGTGGCTGCTCTGATCTAGGGGCTCCCATTCGATCCGTCACCAAAGCACTGCGGTCGAGCAGCAGGAGCAGCTCACGATGAGGATCCCCCTCCGGTAGAAAAGCCAACATGGACACGCTTTCTGCCTGCAAACCACACACGCCGTTAGCAAGCACCCTTTGATGCACCCAAGGGCTAATCTAGAGGAAGCGTTTCTCTAGGCCAATGACTTTCTAGGGTGGCTGCTTGGTTGAGTGACCCTTTCGTTGGATTCCCCAACCGAGACAAATCTCCCGGCAACTATGAATATTTTTTTCTAAGAATGTTCCTTTGGCTTTTTGCTGCAAACTGGGTGGTTGTCAGCTTCCCCTCGTTAACACTACTTCTGCCAGCTTTCTGCAAACCTCATTTTGCATACATTGGAGTACTTGAAACAACATACCGAATACACTCGTGTAAGAGCCACACTTTTTTCCCCCGCAATTTTGATGGGTCGCCGCCCTTCCATGGAAGTGTGAAACTTTCTTTCAATTGAACACCTAACGATAAGAATATTTCACGTATAGCTGCAAACATCCTCACTAAATGCCTTTATCGGTATCACTGCTCAGGCTCAGCTTAGCTCTTCTGCATATTTATGTATCGAATCTTCCTCAGTGCCGTCCATGGCATTGAAAATCTGGTGACCTTACAACGCCTTACAATAGACAGTTATAGTATAGCATTAGCGTGACAGCGTAGGTTAAGGGAATGGCGTTTCCATGCAGCAAACGCTCATTGTGGGCAGCGTCTTATAGTTTAGCGGGATAGCATTTACGCGGTTTACATGCCCGAACTGGGATGGTGGCACCACCTATTTATATGGTTAATAAGTTAAACAGTCAAAATGAAAAGAAAACGAGAATGTTTGCCTATGCCACCACACAAGGCATTGTTAGAAGCTTATTTTAGTGATAATAAAAGTAAATAAATATGAACCACGCACCAAACGCGAAAACATCTATGTTCCCGATCTGTTAACATCGATCTTGTAGTTAGGCCTAGACCCATTAAAAATGGGAAGCTATCTCAAAAATTACGCCAACTTATCCGTTATACTCGGTTATCGAGGCTAACTGAAGGCAAGCGAAGCAACTTTGAACAATCATTTCCTGCGAACAAGGTGAATCTTTCAACAACTATGCCAAAATCACTTCGAAGCGAGCGTCCGAAAGCGCCGCCATGTTTATGTACACTACGTACACCTACGCTACCACGGTAACGTGAAATCAGAAAAATATCGTGTGTACGGGTAGTGGTACGGGTGACCTACGTATCTGCACATGCGCACTTTGATTCCGGTATCACGGTACACCCGGTAAGCCCGGTACACTATAACTCCCTAATAATGTCTGTGGACACCGCACGCCACGTTCTTAAAATATGAAAGCAGACCAGCTGAACTGATGTTCTCTTTAGTCGGTGTTTTCTCTTGACGGCCCACTGCCATCCATTCAGACTGCATGCGTCCGATTCTGCCTTAAGGGCAGATGTGAGCTGAAAAACGAGTCTTTTGTGTGATATTACAATTTTTATTTGCTTTCATGTGTTGTGGGGGTGCTAACACCCTCTGTAAAGTCATTCGCACCTTGTGGCGCACACGTGATTCGCGCATAGGCAGCATTTAGGGTTCACAACCATCGAGCGATAGATGGCACAGTGCTCACGAGTGTTTATCACCAGCATCATCATCATCACGGTTAGCGTGGTAGCCCTAGCAGTGACACGTGGTGGCGAAGTGAGGTGGGAGGACAGGAAAAATTGGCGAGCCTTTTTAGCGTGGGACGGTAGGTGCAAACAGTCGTTTCCCACGGTAGATCCATAGGTGGACGGCACCACAGGTCATCTGCCATGGGCCCTCGTGGTGAGTCTACCTTGTGTTTATCTTTATGTTTGATTGAGTGTATTGTAATATTGTGTAAGGATGTGTTTTAGTGTATTGATCGCTAGTGATGTATTTTGATTCAGCTGACGATATTGTCACTAAAAAAAAGCAGTTAAATAAATGTGTTTGGTTTGGTCCAACCGCGTCTGCTGTGTCAGTTTGTTTCGAGAGCGTGGCTTCATTCCTAGACTCTTACAAAGTTAAGGCTTCTCTTCTTTCACACAAATAGAAAAATTGAAGATTGCAATTAAACTCGAATTAGGTTAAAATACCTTCCAAATAGCACAATGTGGCTTTTGAAAACTTTTTGGCAAACTTCTTCAGATCAGACATCACGTTTTTGGTACTTTTGATAGCCAGATCAGGATAAAATTTTACCCACTTATTCCTTAACATGTGAGGAGTGCAAGTATTTCTATTAAAGCTTGATATCACCCATATAAATATTACAACACAATGTAAGCAATTAGTATGGAATGAGCATTTAAGACTTCTCACATTACTATTTTTCTTGCCCATTTAAATGCCTTATACGCACTTTTTTGTTAATTATTTATATTCTATAGTTAATCTAGAGCAATATGCGTCATTAATGACGCAGAACCATAAAATATTAGTTGCAAGAAAAGTTAGTCCACAAAGCACTATATTTTACACATTGTCATTAGTCTAAACGAAAACTATAAACTGACTACAAAACTGACTACATAATTTAAATCGGCATATATACAGCCAAAATTTTATTGCGATAAATTTTAGATTAAACAAACTTTTTATTTTTTTCGAGTAGCATCTTTCTTTGACTGGCCAATTAATAGACACATTCAGTGGTTGGAGCATACTCGTTAAAACGCCGAGGATGACAGCCAGATAGCTAAAGGCATCTGCAAGACGAGCCTTCACTCGACCTTTGAGGTGACCATGAAAGCAGTCCAACACAAGCTGGGCCTACCGTCGCAGCATGCCTCTCAGCCGGTCCGGTCACCCGCAAGACAACTATTGTCATCCAGTGGCTCCTACAAAATGTGTCATCCACGAGACGCGACGACGCTGTCGTTTGCTGGCGAGATTTTTTTTTAATGCAATAGCAATTATATGGACACATTCGGCTTATTTTGCCACCGCTGTCATATCCCGGATGTATGTATGTAAATATAAAATGCACAATGAAAAATAAATCGGAAGAAAAAAATAACAAGGCACCCTACTGGGAATTCGAACCAGCAACAGCTCAATTCCCAACATGCTGCGTTAACCTAAGGTCCCTAGATGAAACAAGTTTCCAAGGTAGCGACACCCTCCCTTTTTCTCCTCGCTTATTTGCCTGAAGCACCCCCTAGAAGGTTTAAAACTTTCATCCAAAAGCGAATGTTTGGGTTCTGTTGCTACGGTGAATAGATGTAAATGAAACAAAATGGAACGAAATAAGACGTAGAATAAACAGTTACCTTTATGAACATAAACGGCACAACACAAGAGCAAGCGGGATGTGCGTTACTCAATTGGCAACGTTGGGCAGTTCTATACTTTACACCACTAGCCATGGCGTCTCGCGTAGTACATTTTAGTTCCACGGCCGTGGTATTTCGTCCAGTTCTAACTAGTCCACTTCTCCGATTGTGTTTTGTTCGTGCTGTGACACAGTGGACGTGCTTCGTGCTGGATCCTGTAAGTGGCCACAGGGCGTGACGTTGTGATGATTGATTACAACCGGCTTGTGCACACGCAAGAAAAAAAAAAAAACTACGACCAGACTGGTACGAACACTCCTCCAGCAGCACTGCGATGACGTTTTTTTTTTAAATGTGCCCATTTGGACAATCGTGATGCCAAGTGATTCTTATGCGGTGCTGGGAACTTCTTGAAAAGTGAGAGTTATACTGGTGAGGTGTCTCGAAGCAGCGCGTTTCGGCTCAAGCGGGAACTGGTCAAGAGTGAAATGTTTCTGAAGGTGGTTGATTACAACCTACAGCTGTTCTGTATACGTGCATACCCACATGTATTTGTACCAACTGGCATGCACTAGACACGCGTTAGACGCGCCTGGCGTTTCAATAAAAACCGACAAGTGAACTCGCTTCGCAGATCCGCGTCGACATACGTTGACGGAGTTGCACGAAAGCATTCGTGTGAAATGGTTCATAGTTGCACTTCATCTCGGAAAGCACGAGGTAAGTTCAAGAGAGCGAAACCATTTTCTGTTGTTTACGACAACGCAGCATTGCTGAAAAACGCAGATGTTGCATTGAACAAGCATGGCGAAACAATCTTGATCAACTTAGCGCACACCGAAACGCTCCTCCTTTTCAGTTTATGTTCTGGCTACGATTTTGTCTTTGGTCATGGCGAGAATTCAGCTGGAGCCATATGCGCATGCGTACTCGTTTTGAACCTTTTGCATAATAATAAATAACACCACCAGCCATTTGCAAGATCACGTGCAAGTAAAGCACCAATTACAGACGCGGATATCAGAGAAAAAGAGGAGTAATCGAGACAGTGAGGAGGACGGCTCGAGAACAATGAGTGACACTACCTTGTTTCATCTAGGGACCTTACGTTAACCAACTAGGCTGCGCCACCTATGCTGTCTATTTCACTAACAGCGAGTTATATATTGTATTTATTCGAATCTTCGCCAATAGTTTTTTTTTTTTTTCAAATTTCTTTGCAATAAACTCAAGGGTTGGCTTAGATTCAAGGATTTTGAAAAACATGCCATTTTACATTGAGAAAAGTGGTGCACAACTAGCACCACTTAGACGGCAATATATACATAGGTAGCCAAGCCAACAGAGGCCGCCATTTCAATTATTGTGGCGAGTGTTGGAGCGAGCATTCGTCATTTCGAGTCGCACTTTGAGTGGTCTGCGTGTGGGGTAGCTCAATGGTGCCAAACCGGCGGTGCCATCATAGTGCTGCTTATAAAAAGAACGTCCTAGCCGCGGAGTCATCATCCCACAGTCAAGCCGGGCAGGACTTTGGAATGGAGCATCGCTGGAGGGGCTGCAGTGGGACGACAACCCGGGAACTGTAATTTGTGCCCTCTCTTAAGAAATGCGGCACATCCAATGCTCTCAATGGCACCGAGAATTTCACACTGTTTGACGACATCAACAAGGAAGTCACCAGCGAGGAATGCAATGACGACTCGGAATGAGAACAGCATCTTTATGATGAAACTAGAAGTAGCGCAAAAAAATCGACAACGAAGAAGCACAC